TCCCTCCCGTCCTGGTGTTCTCTGCCCTCTCCCTTTCCACAGAGGACATTTCCTGCAATGTCTGTGATTCCTGTCTCAGTTTCCCCAGTCTCCACACAGACCTTGAAGGCACAAAATTCGGTCCCAGCCACCAAATAGCCACGGCTTCCCTGCCATGCACCGGTGGAAGAAACTGAGACCAGAGAGTAGCAGAGGCTTGCTCAAGACTCCAGAGACACTGGGGTCTCTGCCTTTGTGATTTGTGATTGTACAGAGTCAAGCACCTACCTACTTGCTGAAGACGGTTCGCAGTAGTGACTCAGGGCCACCAGCCCAGCAAGCGGTTCCCTCTCTCTTCCTAGCTGGACTGAGGTGGGGAGGTGCCCCGAGCCCCGGGTGCGTCCCCCAGTGGGTGTGACCCTGCCCCGGTGTCCCTCCCCCACCCCAGGCGCCTGTCACTGAGGACCCCAGCTGAAGCTTCGGGTACCTTCCAGCCCTGAGAAGTCAGAGATCCGTCACCCTGGTCTGTGCAGTTGACGCCTTATGTGAACCTGTTTAAGGCGGAGCCATGTGACACCGGTCAAAAGATCCCTGAGTCACAGGGCTGTCTGGGCGACCCCACGGGTCCCCTGGGGCCGAGAGTGGGTGTGATGTGCGTGACGTGGTACGTGCGCCAGCTCTGTCTTCTTGGCGAATGGGGAGTTTTGTGACCCTGTGCCAGAGTGAGGGTGGTGGGAGCTGCAAGGGCCTGGTGGAACCCGAATTGCACAGCTAGGTCAGACAGTCGACAGCCATGGGCATTGAAAATCCTGAACCGCACAAAAGAAATAAAATTCAGGGATGTGTGATGGAAGGTGGGGTGTTGAGGAGGCCCCGGGGCAGAGGACCAGCTGTGCAGAGATCCTGGCATGGCAGAGGAATGTAGAGGAACAGAGGAGGAAGGAGGTAGGGAGAAGCAGAGGAGGAGGGAGGAGCAGAAAAGGAGGAAAGAGGGAGAAGCAGAGAAGGAGGAGGAAGGCAGAGAGGACCAGAGAAGGAGGAAGGAAGCAGGGAGGAGCAGAGGGGGAGGAGGGAGGCAGGGAGGACCAGAGAAGGAGGAAGGAGGTAGGGAGGAGCAGAGGAGAAAGGCAGGGAGGAGCAGAGGAGGAGGAAGGCAGGGAGGAGCAGAAGGGGAGGAGGGAGGCAAGAAGAAGCAGAGAGGGAGGAGGGAGACAGGGAGGAGCAGAGGGGAGGAGGAAGGTAGGAAGGAGCAGAGAGGGAGGAGGGAGAAGCAGGGGAGGAGGGAGGCAAGA